GACAAGAGTGGGTAGATGGCCCTTCATTTTTATTCCGGTCAGGGTGTTAATTTTCCATTTCTCAAGAGCTTAGCATTACATTAATGCCTTCAAGGAGGCCCTGCGTCTGGCCACTTCTCGGCAGTGAGAAGAGCAGAGAGAATCCCACATAGTTAAGAATAGCTAAGGATGCCGCCCGTCTACTGCTGGCATTCCGTATAGATTCACTGAGCTCTAGCAGGGGGCATCAGCTCCTGCAGGGAACTGGAGAAACATCACCCTCTGCTCTCATCACTTTTAAACCAGTTTCTACCACCTCATTGCTTTCTAAGATGCTTTCCCCAGAGCAGATGCAAATCAGAAAAATGCTGGAGGAGTTTCACCTTTGAAAGTGAGTTTCTTCCCTGTAACTGCACACAGGAGATGGAGGGTCTTATTCACTCTGCTGTCTTCTCAAACACTCCATTTCTCAGCCCCCGTTTTATTCAAAATGTATTTAATAACTACATGAAAAAGTTAACCAAGAGTAAGACTAATTTGATTTTTGTTGCAGATGTGTTGAGTGGATTCCAAAACTCCTTACCTCCTTATCATCCCAATTCCAGCTGCCCCCAGATGGCTCTGTGATATGCAAGAGGAACTCTTTCTGAGAATACTTTAGCCCAGTCTGCTTGGCTGGTCCACCTATGTGGAACCTTCTAGAAGCCAGGTTTCCTTAGGAGAAGGTTGAGGTCTATACTTACATAGACAGCGGAGCTAATTCTGGGATCTGGCCTGAGCTGGCAGCCTGGACCACCACCCCTGCCTGGCTGAAGGTGGCCTGGTCTCTGACTGCCAAGTGGACCATTGCAAAGAGGATGCGCGGTCACGGGACAGACAGAAGGAGACTCCCTGAGACACGGGCAGCAAGCTCTGGGCTTGGCCATGAGAGGGAGGAGAGTCATCTGGAGCCATCGGAACTTCCTCCGCTGCCGTGCCTGCTAACCCCGCCACCAGTTCAACTGACAGTGCCGGTGGGGTCCCCCAGGTGACCGTGAACTGGCCTTCTAAGACCTGACCCCTGCCCACCATCCTTCCCACCTACTTCCACTGCAGCCCCAAACCCCAAGCACAAGACCTTTTCCTGCTTTACACTCGGCCAAGATGACCTTCTGCGGGGCAGGCAGGTTCTCACTCGCGGTTGGGGGCCTCAGCAAGAAAAGGGGCAGTGCGTCCTGGGGAAAGGGCTGTTTCTGTCAGCTCAGGGCAAACAGGCAAACTACACTGTGCCCTGCCAGCCATGTGCCAGAGCCTTACAGAGCACTGTGGGCTTGACCTCTCAGTCTAAGCGTTCCGTAGCTGAGATGAAGACCAAGGAGCTCATCTATTTGGGCAGGGATGGGCTGTTGTGCTTCTGGTAGAAGCTGTCACTGGGGCCTCTCCCCAATGCCTCCTTAGTCCTGGGGGCTCTGCCAAGCTCCTGCTGAGACCCCCTGTGGTCTTCTTAGAAAGTTCAAGGCGGCCACAGTGTCTGAGACATTCTCTGTCTGGGCGAAGACACCCTTTCTAAGCATGGGTTGTTTCAAATGGGTGAGGGAAAATGAGACAGATGACAGAGCCCCACTCCTGTCCCTGGAGCTCCCAGTGTGTCTCCGTGAGACCCTGGCTGACTCCGGGGAAAGGCTGACTGCTAGCAAATCTCTATAAGCAAGACAGCAGCAGATAATTCAGCTAATCAAGTGAAATAGGCATAGACCCACCCCCCAACCCCACCCCACAGTGGAGACAGCTTTTCCTAGACGCAGGTTGCAGTGTGAGGAGAGAGTGCTGTTCCCAGGCCTGTGTGCATCATGCTGACATGAGTGAGGATGTCACATCACGAGGCACACAAAGCCCTCCTTGACAGAGCACACGGCCACGGGAGAAGTTGAGATCTGGAGTGACCCCCTCACTCTGCAATGTCGAGGGTGCCCCCACTTTTAAGGATATGTGCCAACCCACTCTCTGAGGTCTGATGGCGGTCTGCCAATACATCCCTATTCCAACAGCTGCTCAAACAAGCCTAGGCGCTCTCTCCATTCAGGTGGGGCTGAGGTTAGACTAAACATGAAACGAGACATGCAGTGAAGCATCAGCTACCTCTCCATCCTTCTATGATACTGCACAGGTCCCAGCAGGCAAAGCCTAGATCTGATTCAAGCAGTGTGCTCCCAGCGTGAAGCTTCTCCGTCCACTCGCAGGTGTTCGCTCCTCTTGTAACACAGGAGGCGCCCCCTGGGGCTCCTTGGATATTTCCCTCTTGCCCTCATGCTTGCCAGTTAAAGATGACATGGCCAGGAACCCACACTGCACCTCCGCCGTAGTGGCACCAGTCACTGTGCAGACCAGGAAGTCCTGTAGGTCCCGTGGGACCTTGGCCGTTCTTCCTCTGTGATCCCAGGCCCAAGTCCTCACCTACCTTTCCTCAAGCCCGTGGCCCTACACCCCGCCACTCCCTCTGACCGCAGCCGCCCTTACCTCCCATCCCCAGCACCCCCCATTCATTCCCTCATCTGCAAGTACCCCGGGCTTAGCTGCTCCACGCTCAGAAACCCACGAGGACCCGCTAAGTCCTCGTCCTGCGTGGGGTCCGCCCTCCCATGTGGACCAAGCTCCCTCGTTCTGCTCCTGTGCCGAACCTCTACTGCCGCAGGGATAGTGTGCTTTCAGGTGTGATCACACAGCAACCAACAGACTCCCCTACCTATCGACGATTCATCGGCAAAGACCCACGACTGGGAGGGGAGTGCAGCAGCCAGGGAACCGTTCTGATTTGCTGGATCCCACGAAGCCTTGCTCATGGTAACACAATATCGCTGGAGAAGAAAGCCGCAGCTTTCACAGTGAGAAGGCTCTAGTGCTCAAGGTCAAGTCTTCCGGATCCCTGCAACCCCCCAGGGGAGCCTGGCGGAAGCTGTGTGAGGATTCCACAGGGTCTCGGGGAATGTTTCCCAATCCTGCAGTGCAGTGTGCAGCAGTTTGCCTGCCTTGGAGACATCGGAGAGTTTGCTTGTAGAAGCTCTCAAACAGTTTGTGGCATCGTCAAATGGACGTGCAGTCATGTGCCGCACAGTGACATTTCTTTCAGCCACAGACCGACAACACATACCATGGTGGTCCCGTCCGATTATAATACCGAATTTTACCATACCCTCTCTACGTTGGGATGTGTTTAGACACACACATCTCCACCACTGTGTCACAACTGCCTCCATGCAGTCAGCACCACACGGTCTGCAGCCTGGGAGCCACGGACTACGCCATGCAGCCTGGGCTTGCGGGAGTCCATGCCACCAGGCCCGTGTGAGAGTACCCTGTGATGTGCACAAAAGGATGTCAGATGCCACTGCCCGAGGATGCGTTTCCAGAACATAGCCCTGTGGTTAAGCAGCACAGGGATGTATATGGTCTTTGTTCCAGATGATTCCTGACACAGAGCTTCCCAAACTCTTCGAATTTCCCGAGCAAGGACAAGTCCCTGACCATGCCTGAGGCTGCACAAAGGAAATGATTTCAGGACGCCTGAGTAGCTTCAGGGAGGGTGCTGGTCTCCAGAGACACCAACCGCGTGACCAAACGGTTGCCACTTTCGGCCCTGCCCAACCCTCTGAGTCCTCTCACTTGGCTGATGATTTCATCAGTCATGCCTATGTAGTTACATCTCTGCTAAAGTTCTAAAACAATGAGGTTCCGAGCTGCACCAGGCTGGTGAACGCTGCAGCACTGGGAGGGTGGCTCGGGGGAGGCCCAGAAGCTCAGTCAGGTCCATACCTTACCCTGAGCACTGCTTCCACTGGCTGCTCCTGAATGGTATCCTTGATAAGACAAATGTAATGCCAACTAAAGTGCTTCCTGAGTTCTGCGAGCTGTCCTAGCAAATCACCACTGAAGTGGAGAGGAAGTCATGGGAACCCCAAATCTGTGGTCAGCTGGGCAGATGTATGGGCAGCTGGGGGACCCCATTTGCAGCCAATGTCTAAAGCAGGGCAGCCTGAGGGACTGAGCCCCAGCCTGTGGGGTTTGACACTAACTCCCACTAATTAGCATCAGAATTGACTTAAATTGTAAGGGTTGGAGAATGGGTGGTTGGAAAACAGCACAATATTAGTACAAGGAGGCCTTATCCCGAGGCACTCCCAGGGTGCAGAGGAGCTTTAGCTACAAATGGAAGGCTGGAGGCGCTGGGTGCCTGCCACCGACACTGACCATGGCATACAAGGCAGGGGTGCCAGTTTGTCCAGATTGGAACCAAGTTCACCCTAAAAATCAGAGGGTCAGGGGACAGCACAGCAGGCCCGGTCATCAGGGACATGCTCACTCACTATGCAAGGCTGGTAGGGGCCCTGCGCTCCTTAGCTGGCTGCTTTCTGTACCTGGCTGGCACATTGAGCTGACACAAGTGGTTGCTATTTCTGTTCTTTAAATTAGCTGTTCCTCCCAGCTGTATACTGCACTCTCATCTTCAGGCTTTAAACTTAATTTTTACTGTAATAACCTTTTATTCTGCTTCCAAATGACTCCATTATAAAAGGGCATTTTAAAAAACCAAAGACTGTGGCTCCCTCGTGGAGGGTGTCTGGAGCGTGGCATACTCCGAGAGCAGGCAGCCACGCAGGGCGACAGAGAGAACAGCCACGTCTTTAATTAATAGCCATTCGGTTACGATTCTTCTTGGAGTGGAGGGAAAACAGATCTTTTGAAGTGTAAGGCATGCTACACTTTCTTCAGCCACTGCCTTTCGCTGATAGACATGCAACAGCATTATCATTTTAATACATATGCACAAATAGATCAGAGCAGGATAGTTCACCACTTAAATGCTATGTTTTTCTTTCTGCAGAATGTGACCACAGTGCAGAATTATACCTGCCAGGAGCTGCAAGTTCATTTTTTTAAGGCACAGGATGCCTGAGAAACATGCAGTGTCTCTTTGGTGACATCGGACAAATGCCAGGACCAGACAACGCCATTGCTAGTGGCTCTTGGGCTTTGGGGTGTCTTACCAGGGGGATCCGGGCACTGGGGTGGAGGCCACTGGCCTGTTGCCTCTGGCTGTGCTGTCCTCTCCTCCCCCCAGCATCGGTGGAGGTTCCTTTCAACAGAAAGAGACAGGAGAGTGACTTTTAATTTTAAACACTCATCTTCAATTACAAGCAAGGAAGGGAGGAATAAACAAATCTCCTGCAGGCAGGCTGCTTATAGTAGCCCCGAGATAATGACCTCAGCACAGCAGTGCCTGGGCTGGGAGGTTCTGCCAGGAACACGGAATCAGTGCAGAGCAGCCTGGGTAGAATCACCCGGACAAAGGCACCCCTCATTGTCCCAAGCTGTCTAAGCTGCCTGCTTTTCCAGAAGCAGAGATGGTCAGAGGCAGCCAAGAGAGGGCATCTGAGGTCTGATGTCTTTGGGACAGAAAATCTCACTGGCTTCATCCCCAGAAATGAGCTGACCCGGCAGTGGGAGTCACTGTGCCATGAAAACAACAGCATTTAGTGGCAGAGAGCCTGAAAGCTGGGGTTGCCACATCCTGGTCCCATTAAGTCAGGAGGAAGCAACAAACCCATATTCCTCAATAATGACTCTGCCACACAGAGTGCGGTTCCTTCCCAGGCTCCCACCTTTCCTGACCATCCAGCTGGGGGCAGGGCTCATGGGGGCTGTTTTGCATCCTGGGGATGATTCTGATTCTGATGCTTGGTTGGTCCACGTTTCCATTAAGAAATAAGAATGTTTGAAATGCCGGGCGCAGTGGCTCACGCCTGTAATCCCAGCACTTTGGGAGGCTGAGGTGGGCAGATCATGAGGTCAAGAGATCCAGATCATCCTGACCAACATGGTGAAACCCCGTCTTTACTAAAAATACAAAAATTAGCTGGGTGTGGTGTGCGCACCTGTAGTCCCAGGTACTCGGAAGACTGAGGCAGGAGAATCGCTTGAACCTGGGAGGCGGAGGTTGCAGTGAGCCGAGATCGTGCCACTACTGCACTCCAGCCTGGATGACAGAGTGAGACTCTGTCTCAAAAAAAAAAAAAAAAAAGAAAGAAAGAAAATTTATCACCTAGAATAAAATGAAGATTTATGTCCTAAAATTAAAAAGAGAGAAAAATAAGCTATGGTTGGGACACTTGATCAGTATTCACTAGGAATAAAATTTGGAGAAAAATAAAAGTTGCTTGAGATTTAAAAATATGGTCCATCATAACTCTAACATAAACAGAGGCCCACAATTCAGATGAATTCCTTTAGCCATATTGATGTATGACAGACAGCAGATCTTACTGGGCAGAAAGAACCAAATTCTTGCCGGTAGAACCATATATCACAAAGAGAAATAAAAAAAAAAAAATAAGGAGGTATCAGCACAATCTTCGAAGGCTGTAAGAAAGAAATGAATTCACATGAAGTATAATAAATTCTCATGTGAGAAACTTTTTCCTTTTTTCCTCTTCCAGCTGTTTCCATGGTTTTAATCTCAAACTTCGAATGCTCTGATAGATTATGTCCTCTCTCTGGGAAAATTAGGTGGGATTAAAAGATACCAACGCCTTATTCAAAGCAGCAATCTGGTTCTGAGCTGAGAATGTCAGGTGTAATTAGAATACTCGATTCATCAAAAAAATGGCAAATCATCCTAAAAGTTTAGCATCTCTGTTTCTACCGTTGTTGATATTGGCACTTTATGAGGTAGTGGAGGTGGGAAGATGATTAACCATTCGACCAACCAAAACTAAATGAAGTCAATGCTCCAAAGTCCTCCTGGGGAGCTACCAGTGCAACATCAGCCATGCTTAGGAGGCTGGGGATGCTGTGGCAAAGCCCAGCACATGTGGGTCCCTGAGGGCTGCGCTGGGCCAGGGCCCATCTGCACTATGTCAGCTGCTTTCAAACAGAGTGCTTAGGAAGGAAAGTGCTAAATTACGGAGGCACAGAAACATAAGATTAGAACAAAAATTAAAAGAATCTCGAGGGTCTATAAGAGACAATGGTGAGATAAAGCCCAAACGAGTAAGTCTCTCTAATGTGACAGTTTGGTAGAACCATGGAAAACAGAGTGAAGTTGTGTCTTGGTGACCGAGTTATCCAGAGTGAGTGGCCCATGTTGAGAGATGCCAGCCCAGAAGGGAGGACAAGAAACACGGAGATTAAAGCGCTCAGCCAGAAGCATCTTGCACGGTCTCTAGCGTGAGGGTGAACCTGGGAAGGGCATCTTCTCGAACATCATGCAAGGGACTACAGGAAGAAAGGAGTGGTCTGTTTCATGTACGTTCATCCTGGCATTTTGGTATTTTACACATGATTTGTAATGTATATTATAACATTATCCTTAAGTTTGTAAGTTTACGAATAAAATTTTTATAGATTTTCTAGTAGCACGAAAAACCTTTGTTTCTTGTGAGAAAATAAGGTCAGGATAACTAATTGCCATAACGGAGCATTCAGAAACACTTGTCTCAAAAAATATATATTAAGACTAGAGCTTATATTACCAATCCAATTAGAAAAACTAGGGGGGACTTCATTATGAAGTTAATTGAACAACAGAAACTCACCAAGAAGTCTGTGAGTGGTAGATTACCTCAGCTAATTATTCAAGCAAATAGAGTAGGATGTAATTTGTGATGGGGACTAACGTTTAAATTTGGCAAGGCTGGGGTTCTCTACTGCTAATTACCGAGGTCTTCTCCATGAGATGCATGCTGGTTATGATTTCCTGTTGGCGATAAAAACAGCTAATCATGGTATAAAACTCTTGTCCCACGCTGAAGTCATAAAAGTGAATTAGACTCGAAGAACTGAGTGATGGAGAAAGGAGTTATTTAAGGCACTAGAAAGGCTATCTGTGTAATTAACATGTAATTCTGGCCTGGATGTTAATCTGGAAAAATCGGAAAAATCATACCTCAGAGGGCAAAAGTTTAATTTGCACTAACATGTGTGATCAATTTTCACCACTGAACACCCGCACCGATGACTGAGGAGGAGACGTGAACAACAGGGCGACTACATCCTGCAAGAACTCAGAGGAGACACGGAAGCAAAACCAGGGAGAACAGAAAGCTCGCAGTGTGACTTCAGGCAGAGAAATACCTTGGAAAGGTGAAGTAAGAGAGAACGTTGACAAGTAACTGAGTCCCACCAGCATCTTCAGTGTATTTGACAGATGAGAGCAAATTAAGTGTGATTTGTGATTTTGAAATGCAGTAATAAAAGTGACTCCCTTGGGTTATTGAGAGGAAGGACTGTACTATTAAAAACATGAAATGCTTCAAATGCACTGTCCTGGTCAGTCTTTAAAATGCCATTTGGCAAACCAGTGAAGAGAAAGACCTGAAATTAGGATGAGAGCGTTGGCTTTTCTTTCCTCTTGCCTAAGTGCTGTCTGAGTTTGACTAACTTGTGTGTCTTCTCTTCCTTCTGAAAATGGACAAAGTTCAAATGGAAGCCAAAGCCTTTCCCAACAGGGTCCCCCAGGGAGCTCTAGACCCAGATCTGGCAGGACCGGCAAGGGCTGCATCCCTGCTCTCCAGGCCTCACCTGGCCCCTTCAGTGCCAGGTCCTGTTGCCTCACACAGCAGATGTCAGTCATTTCACAAACACCGTATAGCAAACGAGCATGAGGGTGTCCTGGCCCTGGATCTCCACACCCAGGGTTTTGTGTCTTTAACACACACACGAGCCCCGAAACTGACCTTGTCTTCTTTGTCCCCAGCCCGGCTCTTCTTCTGGGCCCGCAGCATCAGGGCAGGTGGGCGGGCCACTCGGCCCCGCTCTGTCCTTGTATCTGTTGGGCCAAAGAAGCTGTCGTTAACATTTCATTTGTCACAGTAGTTTGGAAAACCTAAGCAATCAAAGACCAAATGTGGCCCTGAAGATTCGAATTGATCGGTAGACCCTGTGCATTCCACAGGAAAGTGACATTGCCCTGTCCTTGGGTTGAAGTCTAGTGACAAAGTTCTCATCCCAAAGTGAGGATGCACCTGACGATGGGTTTGCAGGGGCCAGAGGCCTGGGCACACACATGCACCCCTGGACTCCCTGGCCCAACCTCCTGGCATCCTCTCCTGTGCCTGTGTGTCCCTGCAGTGTCCACTCCGTCCCGGACTCAGGCAGTGTCCACTCCGTCCCGGACTCAGGCAGTGTCCACTCCGTCCCGGACTCAGGCAGTGTCCCCTCCGTCCCGGACTCAGGCAGTGTCCACTCCGTCCCGGACTCAGGCAGTGTTCCCTCCGTCCCGGACTCAGGCAGTGTCCACTCCGTCCCGGACTCAGGCAGTGTCCACTCCGTCCTGGACTCAGCCTCTTGGAGAAGGACAAGCAGGAAACAAGTCCAAAACGGGGTGGCCCAAGACTTGGCTGTTGTCCACCTGGTGACAATCACCAGGGTGAGGCCATGACAGCTCTCACCACTCCCAGCCCCGTGGGCCCAGGATGGGAGTGCTGTGCCCAGGCGTGTGAGTGTCTCGGGGCTGCTCTCTCACATTCTGGGGCCCCCAGTGCTCTGGGAAGTCAGCAGCCTCCTCCAGTGATGTCAACCTGCCCCCTGTGAACTGGGCCACTTGAGTCACGGATGAATAGGACACAGGCCCTTCCCAAGAAGGACAAAGGGCCAGTGTAGGACAGAAGAACCAGCCTTGCTGAGGCTCTGCCAGCTGGTGGCCATGATGGGCTGCCCTTGGTCCTGGCCCTGCCAAGGGGACAGGAGGGGCTCTGTGCAGACCACACCACCAGTGACCATGGCTTACTGGCCACCATGGTGGGCCCTGGCTTTTCCAGGGGGCCAGATCCACAGCACTTTGAAAAGTACTTGTTTCAGGGGAGGAAGGGATTCTGCAAATTCCCAACAACTGTTCCATTTTTGTCTTATCCAAAAGTGTCTGTCTAAGTCTCAAAATTTTGCAAGTAGATTCAGGGTAAAACAGGAAAGCAAGGTTGAGCACTGTTTAATACCAAGAATAAAAAGAAGGACCCAAACCATCTAACCACACACCAACCTAAAACAATAGATAAGTTCTCAAAGGAAAGCCCTGGCCGGGTCTCATGCGTGTGCAGGGCAGGGCCCTTGGGAAGCAGAGATTTGTTTAGCTTGATCCAGAGCTCCAGACTAGACAGTGCAGTCAGGGAGGCCGGGTATGTTCCTTCCTGGCAGAAGGGAGGGTCGGGAATTCATGTAAATCACTTTATGCGTGTGTGCACACAACACACAGGAGCGTATATGCACACACACATAGAAAGGATGTCCCGTGGCCCCTTCAAGTCACATGTCTGTGCTTGAAGGAAGTGAAAGGCAAGACTGGGGGTCCCACTGGCACACCCCACCTTCTAGCCTTTCCTCCTTGACCCCTGCAAACTGGGGCCCCTCTGCAGCTCCTGGAAGGAGAACTGCATAGCTCCGCATGGGGCCGGCAGTCACGCCGTCCGTGGGCATTGGCACCCATCTGCCTTGCAGCTGTAGAGCCAGGTGGTCTGCAAGGCATCCCTCCCCAGAGCCCTTGGGAGGAAGCCCCTTATTAGTTAGGGTTGGGTCAGTTAGCAGATTTATTTCAGATGTGGGGCAGCAACACTGAGGCAGTCTAGATGTGGCCCAGAGGCCCCATCCCTGGAGGTGCTGAGTCCGGACGAGGCAGAAGCACAGCATTCTACCCCCGGCTCCCCTCCATCCAGTGAGCCGGTGGAAGAAGGCCCAGCCTGTCTACCACTGTCACTCTGCACCGGGCCCTGGCCTGCAGGCTCTCCCCAGGGCTGGGTGGCTGTTCTGCCCTTAGTGCAGGCTGCTGGCAAACAGGCTGAGCAGGGATCCCTGAGGGCACCGGCCTCCTCCATCATTGCCACTCTACGAGGGTGTCCACACAGAGTCTACACGGCACACTTCTCCCTCACAAGAGGCCTGCCAAGGCTGACCACAGGGCTCCCATACAGCCATGACCACCCCAAGAGACGCCCTCCGGCCTGGCAGCTCTGTGCGTGGGTCTATTTCAAGGATGGCCTTGGGAAAGGGACTATCGGCTTTTCACTGAACCGGGTAACCAAGCCCGAGTCAAGAAAAGATTTCAGGGCAGTGGAAATATTTTACTGTCACTCAGGAAGAGAAGCAGGGTCCCTGAATTGCACTAAGATTTCCGGAACTCTGTAAGAATCACTCCCAGAGGCCATTCCTTGTCGAGGTGCAGTGGTCACCAAGCAGCCCGGACACTGGATCTCTGTCCTGATCCTGCAGGGCCATCCTGCCCCACCCCATCTCCGCCTCCTCATCTACAAGAGGGGATTAGCGGGTCACTACCTCTACACCACAGAAAGGGGCTAGTAGATGGGGACACAGCCACGCCCTAGGGAACCCTCGTCAAAAACCCGGGGCTCTGTCCTTTTGCCTCCATCCTGCAGCCACCAGAAGCAGCCCCCTGATTGAGGGACAAGGGGGCACACAAAGGAAGCTGAGCCCACCCTTCCCCTGCCCTCACAGACCCAACACAAAGCAGGCCCAAGTGACGGGAAGAGGGAAGTTAAACCTGGTGATTGGATGACCCAACACTCCACATATCTCACTATTGCACCCCACATATGTCACTACTGCACCTCACATATCTCACTACTGCACCCCACGTATCTCACTACTGCACCCCACATATCTCACTACTGCACCCCTCATATCTCACTACTGCTCTCCACGTATCTCACTACTGCACCCCACGTATCTCACTACTGCACCCCACGTATCTCACTACTGCTCTCCACGTATCTCACTACTGCTCTCCACGTATCTCACTACTGCACCCCACGTATCTCACTACTGCTCTCCACGTATCTCACTACTGCTCTCCACGTATCTCACTACTGCTCTCCACGTATCTCACTACTGCACCCCACGTATCTCACTACTGCTCTCCACGTATCTCACTACTGCTCTCCACGTATCTCACTACTGCTCTCCACGTATCTCACTACTGCACCCCACGTATCTCACTACTGCTCTCCACGTATCTCACTACTGCTCTCCACGTATCTCACTACTGCACCCCACGTATCTCACTACTGCTCTCCACGTATCTCACTACTGCACCCTACGTATCTCACTACTGCACCCCACGTATCTCACTACTGCACCCCACGTATCTCACTACTGCTCTCCACATATCTCACTACTGCACCCCTCATATCTCACTACTGCTCTCCACATATCTCACTACTACACCCCACATATGTCACTACTGCACCCCACATATCTCACTACTGCTCTCCACGTATCTCACTACTGCACCCCACATATCTCACTACTGCTCTCCACATATCTCACTACTACACCCCACATATGTCACTACTGCACCCCACATATCTCACTACTGCACCCCACGTATCTCACTACTGCACCCCACATATCTCACTACTGCTCTCCACGTATCTCACTACTGCACCCCACGTATCTCACTACTGCACCCCACGTATCTCACTACTGCTCTCCACGTATCTCACTACTGCACCCCGCATATCTCACTACTGCACCCCACATATCTCACTACTGCTCTCCACGTATCTCATTACTGCACCCCACGTATCTCACTACTGCACCCCACGTATCTCACTACTGCTCTCCACGTATCTCACTACTGCACCCCACGTATCTCACTACTGCACCCCACGTATCTCACTACTGCTCTCCACGTATCTCACTACTGCACCCCACATATCTCACTACTACTCTCCACATATCTCACTACTGCACCCCACATATCTCACTACTGCTCTCCACATATCTCACTACTACACCCCACATATGTCACTACTGCACCCCACATATCTCACTACTGCACCCCACATATCTCACTACTGCTCTGAGACCTATTTTTTGACTGGATATGAGTGGATGGCTTTTTACTACCTAAGAATGTGCCATAAATGAATTGTTTTAAATTTTATCTAAAGTACAGCAAAGAGCAAGTCCCAGGGAGGAAATCTGGAGGGGTCGTGCATGGAAAGCTGAGCTTGTGTGTTAATTTTATGCCATACACTCTATGTTTTCAACATGGCAGGTGCCTATAAAACACACAGCAATCACAGTAGCTGAAATGTGTGTCTGTATCTTCTATGAGCAGGTAAATAAATATGCATTGTGAAAAACTGTGTTAAGAAAACGCAGCCCGCAAGGAGGGCGTAAGCCCGTAATACTGTTCTCAAATAGGGACAGCGTTGCCTAGTTTATTCCCCATTACCTTGATAAAACATATTAAGGTATTTTTCATATTGAAAACAGTTGATCTTTGTAAAAATCAGATCTTAAAGTCTGGCTTTTGAGATAAACGGATTTACACTGCTCCTCGTGAGTGCTTCTTGGAGAATATATTGTTGATGATCATTTTAAAGCCCCTAATCATAGACACATACCCCCAGAATACCTGTGACAAATGTGTGTGCCTTGCCCTAAATACTTTTCTTAATAACCAGCACTCTTTAACAGTCATTGATTTTGCAGGTACCTTGGAGGTGCGTGGGTGGCACCAGGGGCTCACACACATAACTGGGTCTGCGTCTCAGCCATTCCACCGTGGAAGTGCTTATTCTACGGCTCTCCGGGGGCCACTTCCGGGGTCCACTCTGAGATGCTTAAGTACTCTTTGCTTTGGGCCTCTCCACAAACTCTGATGATGTTGTCATAAAATCCTCCCTTGAGTGGCAGGGAGAACTAGTTTATGGAGGAAAATCAACAAGTTGTAAGACTATGGGCGCTGAAGTACTTCGGGGAGCATGCCATACATTTCCACCCTCCAAGAGAGGCATGGCGGTAATACCTTTC